AAAAAAGAGAGAGAGAAATAAATGCATTTGATGTCTGGGTCTGGAAATTAGTATTTCTCAGAGTACTTTAGGTTTTAGGATAATGTTATTTGTAACACAAGTCTAATAGAAATGATGTATTAATTAGAACCCAGTGGTCTTTTACTTTACTGCCAAAACCTTAGAAGTGCATAATAATTCAAATTTGTTCTCCAAAGCGCTCCGACATTATTAGTGAAGGTACTGTATATGCATACCTTTCTTCCTTCTCCTTCCCTCTCTCCCTTCCTCCTCCCTGCTTTTCTTCATTTCTTTCTCTTTCTCTGCTCCTTTTTGTTTCTCCTTAGTCTTGTTACAATATAGCAGGCCCCTATCAACCGGAAGTCCAGCCCTAACCTGCCAGCAGTTCCTAAGCCATTGGTGACGTGTATTAGTCCTTAAGTGCCCATCCTTCTCAGTCAGCAAAACCCTTAACTATCCCATGCCACTAAGCTGCCAACACCATCATAAAGCAACTTGCCTTTCCTTCAGCGAAGCTGTTACATTTCACCTCTCTGATGCCCCTCTCAGGATCCAGTAGCCACCCTGCGGGGACCCACTCGCCAGAGTGGGCACTGTAAGGAAGCAAGAGCCTTAGTAAGGAGGACTTGGGGGTTAAGGACAGGAGAAGGGAGCTCTCACTGTGCCCCCCGGAGTACCAGTCCCTCTCGGGACTCCGTGGGAACGCTGTAGACAAGATTCTCACATCATCTAATTGCAACGTTTGTTCCAGGCCCTTGAGAAACTACCTTTCCAACCTTGGAATTTCTGGATTCCTACTAAATTAGGCCTTTTTTTCTTGCTCATGACCATCTTGTAGAGCGGCACTGTCCCAGATGGCCAGTAGCCACAGATGGTGAATGGGCCAGACGGAGGTGTGCTGTGTGACATAGATGCCAGGTTGCCAAGAATTAGTATGAAAGAAAGAATGTTATATTTTTAGGTTAATTAATTATATTAAAAAGGTAATACGTTTAGTATATTGGGTTAATTTTTTTTTTTTTTTGAGACAGGGTCTCCCTGTGGAGTTCAGGCTGGCCTCGAACTCACAACGATCCTCCTGCCTTAGCCTCTCGAGTCCTGGGATTATAGGCATACACCACCACACCCACTTTTGGGTTAAATATTTTTTTTGCGAGGCGAGGATTTAGCTCAGTGGCACAGTGCCTGCCTAGCAAGCTCGAGGTCCTGAGTTCAATCTCCATTAACCCCACCCCAAATCTCATTGAAGTAAATTTCATCTATTCCTTTTCACTTTTTTGTGGGGAATAGGCAGGTTATTAGGCAGAGTTAGAAAGTAAGATAAAATAAGTAAGGACTTCAGCTTGAGGGACTGAAGAAAGTACAGGTTTGATGAAGAGGATCAGACTGGCCCTCCTTTTCCACTTTTATTAGTGTGTTTAACAGAATTTCAATTTATAAATGTGGCTCAAATTACATTTTCTATTGGACATTCTAAACCAACACCTATAACTTGAGGCTTTGTCCTCTAAAATGATTGCTAGTAATACTGAGCAGTAATGTAACTTACAGCTACCTAACTTTTTTTTTTTTTTTTGGTACTGGGGATCGAACTCAGGTCCTTGTGAAGCAGGTGCCGGAACCACTGAGCTAAATCTCCAGCCCCCAGCTATCCTAACTTAAAAAGTATCAGTATTTTATTTTTTTAAATTTTGCTTATTTATGTTAGAGATTAGGTTTTGCCATGTTGCCCAGGCTGTTCTGAAACTCCTAAGCTCAGGAGATCCTCCTGCCTCATCCTCCAGAGTAACTGAAACTATGGGCATGTACTACCCTCTCAGGCTAACTTTCCAAGCTAAAGTAAGGCCCAACCTTGGCCTCTGGAACCATTCGGTAGAAGTAGGCTTCTACCAATATCTACACCCTACTGTTTTGTCTTCGACAATATTAAGTTTGAGCCCAAATTATAGTAATGTACAGAGAGAGCCAGACATGCCTGCATGTCAGTGCTCCCATAAGATTAGGACAGAGCTAGGAGATTCTTATTGCCACCTGTTGTCATAGCTATCCAAAAATCAAAGCTCAGTGCATTACTCACACTGGTTGTGATGCTGGTGAGAACAAACCTACTGCACTACCAGTTGTATAAAGCTACATCATAGATGTGCCCTGTGGCATCGGCCTGTAATCCCAGCTACTCAGGAGGCTGAGGCAGGAGGGTGGCAAGCTGGAGCCTAGCCTGGCTTAAAACAACAAAAATATGCTGGGGATATAGCTCAGTGGTCGAGTGTTTGCCTAGCATGTGTGAAGCCCTGAGTTCAATAAGTGAGGGAAGAAAAAAATCAAGATTAAAAAAACCTAAGAGGGCTAAGAATATAGCTCAGCACCACCACACCCAAAAACTCCAATACATATAGTTATGTGCAGTACATAATGCTGTACTTGATGATGAAATGACGGTTACTAGTTTGTATTTACTGTACTATTTACTGTCACTTATCCGTGTGTCTGAAGTTAAGGGTAAAATAGCCTCAGGAGGCGTCCAGAAGGAGGAGTGGTGTTGGAGGAGGTGGCAGCTCCTTGCATGTCCTTGCCCCTGAAAATCTTCCACTGGGACAAAATGTGGACATGAAAGACAGTTATGGTGACGATGGTGGCCCTGTGCAGGCCTAGGATAATGTGTGTGTGTGTGTGTGTGTGTGTGTGTGTGTGTGTGTGAACAGAAACTTAAAAAGTAAGAAAAAAAATTAAAAAGCCAGGTAGGATGGTGCATGTTTTAATCTCAGCACTCTGGGAGGTTGACCCAGGAGGATTGCAAGTTCAAGCCTAGCCTGGGCAACTTAGTGAGCCTCTTTGTCTCGAAATAAAAAAATAAAAAATAAAAAAGGGCTGGGATGTGGCTCAGTGAGAAGGCGCAGGGTTCCATCCGCATTACTGGAAAAAGAGAAGAAAAAGTTTTATATACTTGGACAATGTGTTTTAAGTTAAATGTTATTACGAAAGCATCAAAAAATAAAAGTTTATTATAAAGTAAAAAAAAAATAGGAAGCTAGAGTTAATTTATTCTTGAAGAAAAACATTTAAAAAATAAATTAGTGCAGTTCAGTGTTTACCAAGTGTGCCGGTCCGGACAGAAGTGTCCTGGCTTTCCCTGGCTGGCCCACAGCACCTCCCAAACTCTGCTTTTGGTCAGTGTCCCATCCATGGGCGGTATCTTTCCTCTTTCTACTGTAACAAGCGTTGGGTACAGTATTACCATTTCTCTGTGTTCAGATACACAAATCCCATTAGGTTCCAGTTGCCCACGGTCTCCAGGAAAGAGCCAGGCAGTACAGGTTTGTAGGCTGGGAGCCATAAGCCGTGTCATACAGCCCAGGTGCGTAGCGGGCTGTGCCATCCGACCGGTGAGGAAGCTCACTGACGCTTGCTCGACTGCCAGAACCTCCTCACACGTTCAACAGTGCATAGCTGTGTAGCCAGTGAAATTAAACCTGATCACCGCGGCTTTCCACTTTCTGCAATAGGGACACCGGGAATGAGTTAGGCAGCCACCCCGGGGAAAGGATTTCAACCTCATGTGGAGGCTCAACAGGTAACTTTTCACTCTGGACTTCAGGGGACAGGAAGATGAGGAGAAGGTGCAGTGTTGGTCTTGTTCTAGGATAGTGTCTCTAACAGAAACCCAAACAGACGAAACAGGGTAAACATATTCCTCTATATTCAAGATGAGAAAGATGGCAATCCTGTAATTGGTGCCTTTGCTCTCAGTTTTGATAATAAATTCTGGTCATCTTGTTCGGTTTCATTGTTCCATTAGTCAGTCTGTGTGCCGGGGACCACATTATTTTAATTACTGTAATTGGGAATATGTTATAATTGCTGGTGGGACTAGTTCGCCATGCTCCAACAAGTCCCTTGGTCCTCCCCCTACCTCTGAAATCTTCTTGGCTTCCTTTGCTTGTTGTTTTTTCCCATATGGACTCAATATACATTTGTCTGATTTTTAATTCCTATTAGCATTAAGGAAATAATAAAGTGGGATCCCCAATACCTTTCACCAGGATAAATTCCTAAATAATTAAAAGGAAAAAAAAGGATAAGGTAGAGAAAATGAAACTATAAACATACCAGAAGAAACCTCAGGATTTTTTTTTCCCCCTCTTCAGTACTGGGCAATTGAGCCTAGGGCCTTCACACTGAGTTACAACCCCAACTGTATTTTTTTGTTTTTAATTTAAATTTTTTAAAAATTAAAAAAAAACCTTTTGAGATAGGGTCTTGTTAAGTTGCTAAATTGCTCAAGCTGTGCTCCAACTTGTGATCCTTCTGCAGCAGCCTCCTGGAATGCTGTATCACCATGCCCAGGGCCTCA